GTGCTCCACTACAACTCCCTTTACATATTAACTTTGTCTTATGTGAGGGATCCATGGCGAGTGCAAATGAAGTTAGTGCTAACCATGGTCCATTTCAATAACAACCCTCTAAAAATATATTGAACTTATAAGGTATTCATAGATCTAAAAGCACTTGAATATGGCTTTAAGGTGAAAGCATAACTGTAGATTCACACAGACTGAGATTGGAATCCTAACTCAGCCATTGGACCTTTAAGCAAGGACCTGCTTGAGTGTCAGTGTCTTCACCTATGACATTGAATCTCACTTCCTAGAGTTACTGTGGGGATTAAAAGAGAGAATGTAAAGGGCTTACTTAGCCTGCTGATTGGCATGTAGGCTGCTAAGAAGGATCCATCATTGCTATGCACGATCTTAGCATTTCAACCCAGTTTCAACTTTCTTTCACTGCTTTACCCCACCCTAGGTTCTAAGGCTTTCCTCTTTAAAAAAAAAATTCAGGTGGACAAAACATAGGTATCGTAAGGATTAATTCGAGTCTCTCTTATGAGCTATTTATTAAATGTTTCTTCATGGTCTAAAAATTAGCATCTAATTTGAATACTTACCTTACTGCTGTTTTATTTTTCCTGTGTGGGAAATGTCAAGTGAGGTGGATGTGAAATACTACTGACTAGGATATTTAACATGTGACAGTTTTAATGACAGTAGTTAAAAAAAAACAACAACCGGCATATGGGATCATTAAATTATTGATGATGTTTTGCTGCAATGGATTTATAAATAATACATGTTTAAAGTGTTATTTCCTTTACATTTCTTTAGGGACAACTGAAGAGTCTTCTCATTTTGAGTTTAAAGCGAACTGACAGTTGGAGAAAGGTCAACAAAATGTCCATCCGTGCAGTTTCTACGCTATAAACCCTTCAGACTTCAAATAAGCACATAACCAATTTTATAGAGTTTTATCAAATAGTCGCCCTTGTTTTTAGAATGAACGAAGCAATGACTTTAATTTAGCAACTGGGGGGGGTGCTTAAAAATATTAATAATTAAAAGTTTCATATTAAGCAGTATCACTGTTTGTTTGGGTTTTTTCTCAGAAAAACTTCCAAATTGAAGTTAGCGTCTACAGATAAAAATGAAAAAGGAATTAGGGGCGCTTGGGTGGCTCAGTGGGTTAAGCGTCCAACTCTGGATCTCAGCTCAGGTCTTGATCTCAGGCTTGTGAGGTCAAGCCCTGAGTTGGGCTTTGTGCCCCACCTCCCTCCCGAATAAAGGGAACCCAACAATTAGTCTCGGAAGCTTATCAATTTCCTGACACATTAGCTCTTTAGAATGTTATTTTATAAAGGGAGGATGTGGGGTCACTGGGAACAGAAAGTGGGAAAACCATAAAACCGGCTATGGTTACCCCCTCCCCAGGGTTAGGAATCTCTAGGAATTAGATGTCAAATTGTGTTTGGTATGCATAGGGGATGGAGGAGAGGCATAGGGTCCATAGTTTTCATGGACCTTGAAAAAAGTTCCATTGCTTCTTCCTTTTTCCTTTTGGAACAGGCTAAGAGGAATGAAGGGGCTGAGAGTGGGGAGGGCAAGACAGGAGTCTTCCCATGTTGGGTAACCTCTCACTCAGCCTTTTCACCTCCAAAAACCATGACCGGCATTAAACTTCTGGTTGGTTCAAGAATGCAGCTAAACTAATTACAGGAATGTGAACATGATATGGCAACCAGCAACACCAGGAAAAGATAAAATGTCTTTAATTCTTTTGTTTCTTGAATTAAATTTTAATTTTTTTTTTCAACGTTTATTTATTTTTGGGACAGAGAGAGACAGAGCATGAACGGGGGAGGGGCAGAGAGAGAGGGAGACACAGAATCGGAAACAGGCTCCAGGCTCCGAGCCATCAGCCCAGAACCTGACGCGGGGCTCGAACTCACGGACCGCGAGATCGTGACCTGGCTGAAGTCGGACGCTTAACCGACTGCGCCACCCAGGCGCCCCTGTTTCTTGAATTAAATTTTAAAAAATTTTTTGGAGGCTCCTGGGTGGCTCAGCTGGTAGACCGTCTGACTCTTAGTTTCGGTATGGGTCGTAATCCCAGGGTTAAGAGATTGAGCCCTGCATCGGGCTCCATGCTGAGTGTGAAGCCTGCTTAAGATTCTCTCTTTCCCTCTGCCCCTCTCCCTCTCATGTGCATGCATGCAAGTTCCATTCTCTCTCTCTAAAAAAAAAAAAAAAAAAAAAAAAAAAAAAAAAAAAAAAAATTTTTAAATGCACTTTTTTTCTCCTGTGTATTTGGTTTTAACTTCTATCCTTGCAATTTTCAGAAAGAATTTAAAGCAGGAGGCAAACCCATAATTGAATTACAAAACTTAAAATTTTTCTGATGATAAAGGATAGTATAAAATTTCCTTTGAATAGGAGAATGTATATTCTATATAAGCATTTAAAATACAGCACATTTTTGCTACAAGTTCAGGCCCAAGAGCTACTTAATTGTGTTAATCTGTTTGTAGTGGTGAAAGGCAAGAGGGGCACCTGGCTGGCTCAGTCGGCAGAGTGTGTGACTCTTGATCTTGGGGTCCTGGGTTCAAGCCCCATGCTGGGTGTAGAGATTACTTAAATGAATTATTTAAAACAAAAATTACATGAAAAAATGGATAGGGAGAGATTAAATGATTTATATTACTGAATTTGATCACATTTTTCTCAAGACAGAGCTAAGGGAGTTTAAATAACTTGTCTAAATATCCCCCAAGTATCAGTGCCAGAATCTAAATCCAGGTCTGTTTGACTCCAAAGTCCAATCTCTTCCCTCTGTATTCTTCACCTCCAGTGAGGCTCTTCTGTGACCTCCCCTCATAAAGTCCCTGGTCCTCCCACTCTGCACTTGGTTCATGGGGACAGACAGACTGCTCCTGTAAGAAATCAGAGCTGATGTGGGGCCCATCCCAGAGGATTGCTCCCCTGGAGTGGTTCTTTAAAATGACAGGTGATGGCTATAGAGAAGGATTGTTGGATAAAACAAAAGATGTAAAACAACAGTTTTCTTGACAGACTGCAATGTGCGTCTGTTAGAAAGTGTGAAGAACAAATCAGTCAAAGCCTAAGAAATAGAAATGGTTGAGGGTATTGCTGGTGTTTTGGAAAACAGCCAACTTGATATGGGTTTTACTCTAAAAACGAATGAGGCATTGTGCTATTTTGGGGTGTGATGTGGCATGTTATCCCTCATGGTAAAGTGTCCAGGCTTCTACTCTTTATCACCTTCGATTCTCTCCAAACTCCACAGGATACTTCAGCAAAGGACAGAAGCCCATCTGCTAAGGAAGTGCTTGAGTGATATCTTAAAATGACATGTCTGAAGCAGTCAGCCAGCACTGGTCTGGTCTAAGTTTGGTGCTAAATGTTGGTTCCTCTTTCATTCTGTCAGATATGAGGTTAATAGAATTTTGAGGAAAGTCATTTGTCTGAACTCTGCACAATGGCAAAATGTGCTACGTTTGTGATGATGTCACAGAATGTTTGGATGGGAAGGCCCTGAGGGATCATCTTCGGGTCTAACTTCTCTTCTTTTTCCCCAGCTTTATTGAGGTCCAAATGACAAATAAAAATTGTATATATTTAACGTGCACAATGTGATGATGTGATATGCATATGCATTATGAAATGATACCACGGTCAAGCTTGTCAACATATCCATTGCCTCACTTAGTAACCAACTGTGTTTGTGTATGTTGAGGAAACCACTGAAGATCCCTCTCTTAGAAGAATTAAAACATTTTTTATTTTTTAATTTTTAAAAAATGTTTTATTTATTTTTGAGACAGAGAGAGACAGAGCATGAGCAGTGGAGGGGCAGAGAAAGAGGGAGACACAGAATCCAAAGCAGGCTCCAGGCTCTGAGCTGTCAGCACAGAGCCCGACGTGGGGCTCGAACTTACAAACCTCGAGATCGTGACCTGAGCCGAAGTCGGACGCTCAACCGACTGAGCCACCCAGGCGCCCCTTAAAACATTTTTTAAAATTAAATTTTATTGTTTTAAGTAAAGTCTACGCCCTACAGGGGGGGCTTGAACTCACAACCCTACGGTCAAGAGTCACATGCTCTACCAACTGAGCAAGCCAGGTACCCCTCTCTTAGCACATTTAAAATATGTAATAACTATAGCCACTGTTCTGCACATTAGATCACCAGAACTGATTAATTTTATAACTGGAAGTTTGTGTCCACCAGCCTACTCTCTGCTTCTATGAGTTTGACTTTTTTAGATTCCACACATATGTGAGATCATACAGTATTTGGCTTTCTGTGTCTGGCTTATTTCACTTAGCACACTGTCCTTCAGATTCATCCACGTTGTCTCAGGTGGCAGAATTTCTCATGGCTGAGCAATATTCCACACACACGTGCACATATATACACCACATCTTTGTCTATTCATCCATTGACAGACACTTAAGTTGTTTCCATACGGTGATTATTGTGAATAATGCTGCAATGAACAGAGAAGTGCAGATCTCTCTATATTTTTTTTAAGTTTATTTATTTCGAGGGAGAGAGCACAAGCGGGGGCGGGGGGGAGCGGCAGAGAGAGAGGGAGAAAGAGAGAATCCCAAGCAGGCCCCACATTGTCAGTGGGGAGTCCGACTTGGGCTCGAACCCTTGACCCTTGAGATCATGACCTGAGCCCAAATTGAGAGTCAGAAACCCAACCAACTGACCAAATGAGCCACCCAGGCGCCCCCAGATATCTTTTTGAGATACTGATTTCCTTTGGATATATATCCAGAAATGAAACTGCTGGATCATGTGGAATTTTTTAAAAATTTTAATGTTTATTATTGTTTTTGAAATATTAAAAAAGACCCAACCATCATCACCATATATATTTAGATCTGATCTAAAGTGAAAGATGTCAAAAAGAAAACCTAGAATATATACATAAGTGCACACACCCCTGAACCCAGAAAACCTAAAAGAAAAAATAGCACAAAGTTCTGTTAACAGATAAATTTATCTTTATTTCTGGAAGACGTTTCCACACCCCATTCTACGTCCTCTTCCTCTTGCAGCCACTTGGGCCTTCAGCATAGCAGCTTTTCCTCGGCCAGACCCTGAGCCTTGGTGTTTATTTTTCATGCTCTTTATAATGGGCACATTTTTCAGCATGTCAGGCGAAGTGAGAAAGCAGATCTTTTTTTTTTTTCTGTTTTTTATTTATTTTTATTTTTTTATTTTATGAAATTTATTGTCAAATTGGTTTCTATACAACACCCAGTGCTCATCCCAAAAGATGCCCTCTTCAATGCCCATCACCCACCCTCCCCTCCCCTCCCTCCCACTCCCCATCAACCCTCAGTTTGTTCTCAGTTTTTAAGAGTCTCTTATGCTTTGGCTCTCTCCCACTCTAACCTCTCTTTTTTTTTCCTTCCCCTCCCCCATGGGTTTCTGTTAAGTTTCTCAGGATCCACATAAGAGTGAAAACATATGGTATCTGTCTGACAAAGCAGATCTTAATGTCACGGATGTACACCTTCTCCAGCTGTGCCACTTCCCTGTATGGGACCACGATGTTGGACATCTGGCAGTTTATGTTGTCCTCCCTGCCACTGAGCTTCCCATGATACATCTTGTCAGTGTTGGTCTCACATGTCATGATATGACCCGCAGCCTCGTGTAGGACTTTAATCAGCACACTATAAGACATCTTAGCAGGAAGAGAGTTCTCCCTGGCTCCCGCATAATCTTCCTCTCAGGTGCAGAGGCAATTCTGGTGGCTGCAAAGGCATGAGCCAAGCGAATGGCGGGCCCTGTGTGCCTGGCAGTTCTCTTTGTAGTTTTTTGAGGAACACCTCCCCCCCATGCTGTTTTCCATAGCACTTGCACCAGTTTACATTCCCACCAACAGTGCACAAGGGTTTCCTTTTCTCTACACCCTCACACTTTTTGCCTTATGTCTTTTTGACCATAACCATTCCAATAGGTGTGAGGTTAAGTCATATTGTGATTGATTTGCATTTCCCTGATGATTAGTGACTCACTTTCAACATACCTGTAGGCCATATGTATGACTTCTTTGAGAAAATGTCTATACAAGTCCGTTGCCCATTTTTAAATTGGACTTTTTTTGATATTGAGTTGATATTGAGTTCCTTATATATTTTGGATATTAATTCCTTGTCAGACATATGGCTGCAAATATTTTCTCCCATTCTGCAGGTTGCCTTTTCATTTTGTTGTGCATCTAACTTCTCTTTAACCAACATCAAAATCTTACCAGAATCCTATTGACATTGAACTTACAGAAGCAAGAAGAAACTTCTAGGAAAACCAGTTGGTGACAGGGATGTTTAAATAAATATAGGGCTGTCCAGGTGGCATCCTGTGTTTGGTATTCATCCTTCTCATTCTGACACTTAATCTCTAATCCTGGATGGTGATTTCTGACCTCGGAAAGACAAGACACTAGAAGCCCTGGAGTCAGGCAAAATCAGATGAGTGCTGTTCTCTCTAAGCCACACCTATTAAGACAGGAAAAGAGACTCATATTTTAGAAAGTTTTCTAATAACAAGGGTAAGCCTTGATTAACTAGACAACTCAGTGAATCAGACCATACTGTGTGGGACCTAGCACGTGCTTTACCTGGACTTGGAGGTCGCAAAATGGGTGTTCCTTCTCCCAAGGATTACTGCTGAGACTGTACTACAGAAAGATCAAAGGCAGGCAGTGTTTTCCGTCCTCTCTCTGTCCTGCCTGCTTAGTGTTCTCTCACTGCTTTTCTTCACTGTTCTTGCACGGAAGAGATCTAGGGTGACAGGAAAGTGATGATTCATCTGACATCAGATGGAGTCCTTTTTATTTGCCCTTTTGTTGGCCTCAGTCTCTGATATTGGGAACATCCGTGTTATGTTTGTGAATGTTTTTATTTCACGGAAGACACACATGGATTGCAGTGGGACTCTGATGATTTAAAGGTCTGATGCGTGTGGCTGTCTGGTAGCTCTTTGTTTTCCACAATCCTTTGACCAGAAAAAGAAATCAAAGTGTGTTTTAATCATGCTGACCAGCGAGGGCCAGGGATTCCTTCACTTTGGTCTGTGTCTCTGGTTGTGTATGTTCATACCTTTCTTTAAAGGTAGGTTTTATTTCTGCTTTATCTCATATTCTCTTTTCAGCTACATATATTTATTCTTCTTTTCTAGTTGTGTTTGATTGAGCAGAGATGAAATATTCTTTGTGTAAATATGTAGAGGGTCTGCACAGGAATTACTACTGTTATAACTGTTAATTAACCTATTTCTTATTGGTTAGGTTTTAACACTGAACATGAGATTTTGGAGATGGTGCAGGGAAGACAATGAAACATTGTAAACCATATCTTATTTTATTGTTCCAATAAAAATATGGTAATAATAGTGATGCAGTTTTCTATCCATCTCTGGTATGGATGTATTCAACTGATTTATCTGTATTTGTATTTAATTTTTTTTTACAACTATGATTTGTTTGTTAGCTGAGACTTAGTCCATGAACCCTTCCATTTTGAAGGTAATCATCTTTGTTTTGGGAAACATGTCATATTACTATGCTGGAATGTGTCCTAAGAGTAGGATAATTCATTTTAAAAGTTAAGACTTGGAAATAGACAAGTGCTGTTCTGCTGCAGAAAACCACATTCCCATGTTAGCTTTGCAGGGGACTTGTTCTTCAAGATTCAAAGAGGGTTTATCTACGATATCTCAAAGAGGGGGAAATGGTAATGGAGTAGTGGAGAGGATTTTTTTTATTGTCTATTTTACATAGAAATATTTCTAGCATTATTAATTATGGTGGCAAGAGTACTATTTCACATTTAAAATTGTTTTTTCCTGATGAAATCTCAGAGTTTGGTTCCAAGTGCATTTGTCAACGACTCTTTATTTAGTAATATAACAGCTATCCTTTTGTTCATTTTTGCCAAATGAGTTTTCAGTGCCTTTAATCTTCTTTCTTTCAAGATATAAATCCCTTTTGGAAATTTGTAGACTTGTTTTTCTGATGTCAAATTTGAGTTCTATAAGGGAAAATATAGAGGGGTATTAATGAAATGAATAATGTCAAATGAAGGCAAGTATCTTGCTTTTGATGCATTCTTGGAAAAATACAGACATTCACATTAAACTGTGTAAATTTTAGCGACTGAAAACTCTGTTATTTAAGAGCTAGTATTGAATTCTTTTAAAACCAATTAAATAAGTTTGCCTTAAAAACCTTGCACTTGACACAAGTCTCCTAAATAATTGAATCCGAATCAGATTTTAAAAAGAAATATGGCTTGCTAAGGTCTTAATAAACTTACTAGTTATTTCGGTTTGCTTGGTGGAGGTTCCCCAGCTAAACACCTTGTTGGTTGTATAAATAGGTGGTTGGATCAGCATTTTGACCAGAAAAGGCAGGACTCTTCCTTAAAAACCAGATCAGTAAGATCATGAGTTATCTTCAGTGACATAAGCAAAACTTGGAGCTCATGCTGTCCCTTTGTATTTGTGGTGCATTAGACTTGTAAAAGTGCTCTTACAATAGTATTTTATTTGATATCATAATGGCTCTGGGATGTAGGCATTACTCTTCTTATCTTCAGGGCTCTGAGAGGCTAGGTACAATGGGCACCAGGGGAAGCCTGTGTGGGTGGACAGAACACAGGGGCGGGAGCGCTCAGGTGGCTGGGACACCCCACTGTCCTAGTGGCCTGGCGATGGGAGCTGCCAGAACCTTCCCATCTGGGAACACCCTCTTGACCTCTCTAACTCTTCCTCTGCTTGGCCATGCAGGCTCTGCAGGCTGTGCATCTGAAGAGAGGCTCTTTCACAAACTGTTTTCTCATTATAACCAGTTCATCAGGCCTGTGGAAAACGTTTCTGAACCAGTCACGGTGCATTTTGAAGTGGCCATCACACAGCTGGCCAATGTGGTAAGTGCTGCCAGTTCACCACGTGTACCTGGAGAACCCTTGACTCGCGTGGGGGTGCAGGCAGAGCAATTCCTGAACACTGTCCCAGTTATTGCACGTGGCAAATATAGAAATTTTAAAATATGAACAAACACACATCTCCATGAATCCTGGCTCTTCAAAGCCTTCCTGCTGGGAAGAAGACATTGATGCTGTAATTATTCACATCAAGGCAGGGTCTTTCTGGAAGTGCTTTCAGAACCAGTTTATGAAACAGAGAGGCAAAGGGGAAGTTGAAGGGATAATACAGAGGGAGTTAACTTCATGGTGCACCTATTCACCAGTCACTGCGTCTACACTTAGTGGCTGTCATTTGCATTTTATAGCTGAAGGGAAGCTCAGGAAGGAATTTTCCCAAGGTCATACAATTATAAAATGGTGGAACTGAAATCTTAATCGGGCCTGTCCAACTCCAAAGCTCATGTTCTTTTTACTCTATAGGAAAAGAACTGTTTTGGGGCACCTGGGTGGCTCAGTCGGTTGAGCCTCCGACTTCGGCTCAGGTCATGATCTAGTGGTTCATGGGTTCAGGCTCTGTGCTGACAGCTCAGAGCCTGGAGCCTGCTTGGGATTCTGTGTCTCCCTCTCTCTCTGACCCTCCCCCACTCAAACTCTGTCTCTCTCTCTCTCTCTTAAAAATAAATAAACATTAACAAATTAAAAAAAAAAAGAAAAGAAAAAGAACTGCTTTAAATATTCTATGTTATGCAAGAAAGAAAAAAAAAATCACCTGCTTTCATATAGCTTCCATCCAGCCCTGAGAAAACAGATGGCAATTTGGAGTTCTTAAATTTATTGCCACTATGTTCAAGGACAAGTGACTACAGTTCTTTCCTTTGAATAATCTTCATGCCCTAGTTGCCGGGAGAGGAGGTATTAGGGCCTGGTATTTATAACACAGAGCAGGGTTTTGGGCTCAAAAGCATAGGAGGGGACAGCGCTGGCTTGCCGACCAAATTCCAGGAATAGGCAGGCTCAGGAAGTAGGGGGAGGCTAAAGCATCTCCAGAGAGAGATGCTAGAGCTCCTGAGACTACAAACGGAGCCCCTTTCATCTTATCAGTCCCAGCCTATGCATAGGGAAGGAACCTTCTGTCTTTCCAGACTTGCCCTGTAGGAAACAGTGGTGGTTCTTCAGGTTCACTGGAGGAAAGACCTTAGTTACAGATGTGAACTCAAGGCTCACGATGTTTCTCCGGTCCATGCTTCCTGGTGGACTAGGTTACCCTGGCCTGGTCCTCTAGCTTCTGACCCAGGTTGGAAGTATGTATATACTGGTACATATTGGTTAAAAAAATAAAAATAAAAAAGTCACAGTTTTCTTTTGTATAGATGGATATACTCATTTCTTTAAAAAACATTTTATTTGGTACCTAATCTGATCCCTTTCACCCCCAAATAGTGTTGTACTGATTACTGGTCTCCTACTGGGCTGGGAGCCATAATTTGCTGTGGAGTATTATAAAGTAAGTTTCTCCTGAAGTCAGTCTATTTCACTATACAGCATCACTTCAAATTCCTGGTTGATACACCCTTTCAGGACATTGTTCTGAGGATGGTGTGTGGAGATAATGGAATACAGATTTTGACATTTGCATTTGGTCGCTATCAGAGACTTAAAAATAACATGGCTTGAATAAAACAAATTGATTTCTTTCTTGTGTAACAGAAATCTAAAGGTTAAAAGTTTAGAAGGTTAATGCCAGGTGGCTTTGTGGTGTTGGTGATTGTACCACTGTGTTCAGTTGCTTAGGTTGGGCACTGCAAAACTCCAGGGGATGCCAATCACACAGACCACGATGCTAAAAGCATAAACCATACATGGTGACAGTGAGCAAGGTTCCTATCTTTCTATTTCAGCATATGGTTTCTTCCCTCAGTGTTGCCTCATGGTCCATGATAACTGCTGATTTTCACTCATCATATTCACATCCTTCGTAAGAAGCAGGAGGAAGGGAGGAGGGGACATAACAGACATATGTGACTTCCTTAAGGTGTTTTCTTAAAAGTCCTACTAATATCTTCTGCTTCCTATATCATCGACAACTTCTAGCTGTAAGGGAGACTTGGGAAATGTGGTTTTTTTAAGTTGAATTTTTGTTTATTGAAATACTTGTAGATTCATATGCAGTTGTAGGAAATAATAGGAAGATCCCACTTTGCCCAGTTTCCCAGTGGCAACTACTAATATGTCTTCAATTTCTAAAATTTTGTCGTTTCAAGAAAGTTAGATAAAAATGATACAGTATGTAACATTGTGGGATTGGCTTTTCCATTCAGCATAATTTTAAAAAAAATTTATGTTTATTTTGAGAGAGAGAGAAAGCACGTGTGCACGAGTTGGAGAGGGGGAGAGAGAGAAAGGGACAGAGGATCCGAAGCAGGCTCTGTGCTGACAGCCCAATGTGGGGCTTGAATTCATGAAAGATGCAATCATGACTTGAGCAAAGCCAGACACTTAACCGACTGAGCCACCCAGGTGCCTTCACTCAGCATAATTTTCTAAAGACTCATCCCAGTTGTTGATTATATCAATAGCTCATTTCTTCTTGTTGCTGAGTAGTATTCCATGGTATTGATGTGCCTCAGTTTATTTACATTTTGTTGGTTGAAGAACATTTGTATTGATTCCAGTTTTGTTCTGTTACAAATAAAAGTGCTGTGAACATTTGGATACAAGTTGTTGTGAGAACGTAAATCTTTATTTTCCTGGGATAAATCCCCAGGTGTTCAATTGCTGGGTCATATGGTAGTTGTGTGTTTAATTTTTTAATAAACTGCCAAAATGCTTTCCAGAGTGAATGTACCCTTTTAAATTCCTATCAGCGATATATAAGTGATCCAGTTTATCTACATCTTCACCAGTATTTGTTGTTGTCACTATTTTTTTATTTTAGCCATTCCGTTTGGTATATAATAATATCTCATTATAGTTTTAATGTGCATTTTCCTAATGATTCATCATATAGAACATCTTTTCATGTGCTTATTTGCCATCTGTATATCCTCTTTGGTAAAATGTTTCCTCATGTTTTTGTTCCCGTTTTCTAATTGGATTGTTTGATTTTTTTTTTTTTTTAACTGTTCAGTGTTGAGAGTTCTTACTATATTCTAGATACTGATGCTTTGCCAGGTATGTGGTTTGCAAATACAGTTAACTCGAGTAATGCAAGGGTTAGGGACATCAGCCTCCAGCATAGTCGAAATTCTGCATGTGACTTTTGACTCCCCCCAAACTTAACTACTAATAGCCTACTGTTGAGCAGAAGCCTTACTGATAACATCAACAGTTGATTAACACATATTTTGTATGTTACGTATGTTATATTCTGTACTCTTACAATAAAGTAAAAGAAAATAAAATGTCATTAAGAAAATCATAAGGAAGGGAAAATACATTTACAGCACTGTAGTGTAAAAAATTCTACATGTAAGTGGACTCACACAGCTCAGACCTGTGTGTTCAAGGGTCAACTGCATTTTACCCTAGTGTGTAGCTTCTCTTTTCATCTTTTTCACATGGACCTTCACTCAAACTTTTCAATTTTGACAAGATCCAATTTATCACTTTTTCCTTTTATGTGTTGTGCTTTTGGTGTTAAGCCTAAGCATTCCTTGCCTTTATTGCAGATCCTAGAGATTTTCTCATATATTTTTTCTAAAAGTTTTATTTATGTTTTACATTTGAGACTATGATCCATTTTGAGTTAATTTTTGTTAAAATGTGAGACTTGGGCTTTTTTCCTTTTTTGGTCTATGGGTGTCTAATTGCTCCAATACCATTAGTTGAAAAGGCTATCCTTTTTCCATGGAGCTGGTTGTGCACTGTTGTGAAAAATCCGTTGAGCATACTTGTATGGGTCTATTTCAGGTCTATTTCAGGTCCTCTATTCTATTCCGTTGATCTATGTGATGAACCCTCCACCAATACCACACAATCTTGATTACTGTAGCTGTATAGTAAGTCTTAATGTTGGCCAGAGTGATCCTACCACCTTATTCTTCTTTGTCAAAATTATATTCACTGTTCTGGGGCCTATGCCTTCAAATAAGCTGCCTATGTATACAAAAAGGCTTGCTGGGATTTTGAAAGGAATTGCATTCATCTGTAGATCAATTTGGGGAGAAATGTCATCTTTACTATGTTGAGTGTTCCCATCCATGAATGCAGGATATTTCTCCATTTATTTAGCTCTTTTTTCATCAGCATTTTATAATTTTCAGCATGCAGATCCTGTCCATGTATTATTATGTGTATATTTGTTTTATTGTCCATGTACTATTATGTGTACTTTGTTTTATTTAAGGCAATTGAAAATAATATTGTACTTTTAATTTTGATTTCTGCATGTTCATCATTAGTATATAGAAATTCAATCGGTTTCTGTATGTTGATGTTGTATCCCGAGATCTTGCTGAAATCATTTATTAGTTTCAGTATTTTTATAGATTCCATGGGATTTTCTATATAGGCAACCATGTCATATGCAAATAGAGATGGTTTTATTTCTTCGTTTCCAAACTATGCCGTTTTTTCCCTTTTTCTTGCCTTATTGCATAGTATTGACTAGAATTATCAGTACTGTTTTGAATAAGAGTGGTGAGAGTGGACATCTCTGCCCTGTTCCCAATCTTAAGGAAAATTGTTTAGTCTTTCACCTTCTAGTATAATGATAGCTGTAGGTGTTTTATAGAGGTTTTCAAATTGAGAAAGTTCTCCTTTATTGGTTAGTTTTCAGAGAGTTTTTATCATTAATTGATGTTGAATTTTTGTCAAATGCTTTTTCTGTAACCATTGATATGATCAGATAATTTTTCTTCCTTACCTTGTTGATATGGTAAAGTACATTGATTGATTTTTGAATGTTGAACAGCTTTACAACTCATTTAGTCATGGTGTATAACTTTTTGTACATTGTTGGATTCACTTTGCTAATATTTTATTGATGAGTTCATGACAGACATTAATCTGTAATTTTCTTCTTTTGTATTATCTTTGTTTAGATTTTGTGTCAGGGTAATATAGCTTTATAAAAAATATTTGGAATTGTTCCATCTTCTTCTATGTTCTGGAAGAGACTGTGTAAAATTGATACTGATTCTTCTTTCATAGTTGGTGGAATTCTCCAGGGAAACCTACTAGGCCTAGAGATTTGTTTTCCAGGAGTTTTTAACTACAAATTCAATTTTTAAAAATGGCTATAGGCTATTTAGATTGTCAATTTCATCTTCTTTGAATTTGGATAGTTTGTGGTTTTTGAAGTTTTAGTCTACTTCTTTTAAAATTTTGATTGTATAATAAAGCTGTTTATCATATTGTCTATTCTTTTTAATGGCTATAGGATCTGTAGTGATAGCTCCTATTTCATTCCTGATGTTGGTGAGTTGTGTTTTCTCTGTTTTTATTTTTGTCGATCTTGAGACAAGTTTGTGAGTTTTATTGGTCCCCATCCCAAAGAATTAGCTTTTTATTTAATTGATTTTTTCTATTGTTTTCCTTTTTCAATTTTATTGTTTTCTACTCTTTTTTTTTTAAGTGTATTTATTTACTTATTTAAGTAATCTCTACACCCAACATATGGCTCAAACTCATGACCTGGAGATCAAGAGTTGCATGCTCCAATGACTAAGCCAGCCAGGTGCCCCATGATTTCTACTCTTATCTTTATTTTTCCTTCCTTAAGCTTGCTGTGGGCTCATTTTGTGCTTCTTTTTCTAATTTCTTGAAGTAAGAACTTGGATTATTGATTTGAGACCTTTCCTCATTTCTAATGTAAGCATATAATGCTATAATTTTATTTTCAACATTGTTTTTAGCAATGACCTTCATATTTTAATATGTTGTGTTTTCATTTCATTCAGTTCTATGTATTTTTAAAAATCTCCTTTGAGATTTAAGCCCATTTTGATCTTTGACCCATGGATTATTTAGAAGTGTGTTGTATAATTCCTAGGGGTTTAGAGAGTTTCCTGCTGTCTTTTTGTTGTTGGTTTCTAGTTTGATTCCATTAAAGTCAGAAAACACACTGTATGGTTTCAGTTCTTTTAAATTTGATGAGGTTTGTTTTATGGCCCATGGTAAGAATATGGTTTATCTTGGTTAATATCCCATGCATTCTTGAAATATATGTGTATTCTGTGCTTTTGAAAGAAGTGGTCTATATATTTCAATTAGATCCTGTTGATTATGTTCTTCAGATCTTCTATATTTTGCTGATTTCCCCCCTAGTGGTTTTATTGGTTGCTGAGGGGGATGGTGTTGAAGTCTCCAACTATATTTGGGAGTTTGTTCCTTCTTTCAGTTTCATCAATTTTTATTTCATGTAATTTAAGACTAGTGTTTGGTGTGTATACAGTTAGGATCATTATGTCTTCCTGGTGATTTTATATTTCCATCATTATATAATGTCCTTGGTCTACAGTAATTTTTTTTCTGAAGTCTACTTTGTCAGGTATTAATATAGCTATTCTTATTGGTGTATTGGAAGCTACCTGTTCTCATGGGGGGCACCAGAAGTCCCTGAGGGTCATATTCATTGTCATTGAGCCATGGTGAGCTCTGGGGATGGTTCTGTGATGCAGGACAGTCAGGATGCGCAATTACCAACTCCCTTATCAAAGGCCTTAGCAAAGGCCTTTTTTGCTGCTCTACATGGAAGTGTGTTTGCTGCAAACACACAGAATGACTCTGGCCAGAAGGTTTTCTGGGTGAATGATCTTTCAGTGTAAGAGTATGTCTGCTGTCCCCCCAACAGGGATCCAAGACAAAGCCCCTGTGTAGTGTTTTGATGGCCTCACTATCTGAAATGACTAACTTAAAGGCTTATAAAGTGTAGCCAACCTGGCTTTCTGATCTCAATCTCTGCTGCTTCAGAAGCTAATCCTTTTGAAATTATAACTCCAATCCTTTAATACAGGCAGGGTGCCAACTAATTTATTTTCCCAAGAAGGAGATACAGAGCAATGGTCTCAGGAATGTGGAGTGGTATTTTAGGTCCCTGCTTCCTCCAGCTGGGCTGTCTGATGGTAGTGCTCATGACCATCAGTGTGGTACAGAATTGCATGGAGAACAAGACTTGCCAGACCAAGTCCTGGTCCATAAAGCTGGCTGACACCCCTAAGAATGTCCACACCACATTGAGCCTCACCAGCCTGTGGAAGTGTTGGGGAAAGAGAGAGATATTGACAGGATGATATTGCCAACAGATTTTAATTCTTTGAATACTAGTTAACAGTGTACACTAGTTCTGTGAACACAGAATACAAAGAGGATGCATAAGACTGTATAGCTAGTCCATTCTTGATTGACAGCCAACAGATCTATTGACATGGCCCCTGCTGGAATTTATAGATCACAGCATCACACTCTCATGAGCAGAAGGCAATTACCTTAGGCTTGGGTAATACTTGGCCAATGGATAAGTATAGCCTTTTTTATTTTATTTATTTATTTATTTTTGCTTTTCTTGACTAATAAGAAACCATGATTGTAACTCCTTTTGTTGACCTTTTAAAACCCTGGGGTTTACCATGACTAGACACAAACACATTTGAAGGAGGAAGCTTGGCAGGGGGAGTGGAGAACTACAGAGCAGCTCAGTGAAAAAGAGCAGTTTGGTGTCAGTCCTGGCCATGGCTCTGTCAACCACAGTTGAGTTCATTTACTCTGAGGGTGTTCACGTATATTATAAAGCAACATTGGTAAGTTTGGGGAACCCACTGATGGTCACTGGAACACCCAATAGCTTTCAAGCTGCTGTGCTGTAAGGTTGCTGAAGGTTCTGGAGTGTCTTCAGTAGTTTTCCCACTGAAGGCTGGTAGCTGCTTAGGAACACATTGTATTTGGGATATTGGCCTGAAATATTTTTCCTCCAGATAGCTGTATGACTCTCTTCAGTCATTTAGGTACCTGTTTAAACCTCCTAAGAGAAGCCTTCTTTGATCATTCTGTCTAAAAAAGATGTGTGTGTGTGTGTGTGTGTGTGTGTGTGTGTGTATGCATGCACACACCACTCCATCTCTCTTTATTTTTCTTCACAGGGACTTATAACTGTCACACATTATATTATATATCTATTATTGATTTTTTGTCTCCCAAATTAACAGTTTAGATGCATGAAGGTAGAGGTTTTTTCAATCCTGTTTACTGCTGTAGTCCCAGAATTTATAGAGCACATAGTAGGTACTCAATAAATATTTGAATAATGAATAATTGAAGCAATCATCATGGCTTAGATGAGAGTTGAGATGTGTTGAAGTGGAGTGGCAGGTTCCAGCTGGAAAACTCCATGGTGAGCAGAGGCTGACATTTCAAAAGGCAACTGGGCTCAGGACTCAGAGCCTAGAGAGTGGTGACCACAGTTGAAGAGGGAGGTTTTCAAGGAAGGGGGAAGAATACAGTAAAAACAATGAACCAAGTTCTGATACCTATCACCATCTGCAGTACTTTCCCTGTCTCCTTTCTACTGTCCCTTCTCTTCCTCCTTTCTTTCATGGAATCAGACACCTTTAATGGGCTGCGGTGGTCAGAAAGGCTTCACTGAAGAGGTGAGACTTAATTAAGATTTGAAAGACATTTTTTTAAGCCACATTTTCTTTTAAAGTCAACAGAGTTGGAACCAGATGTGAAAATATCATATTTCTGGATGCATTTTATAAGTTGCCTTTTTAGTCTTCTTTGTTTTCTTCTGTTAGTATGAATAACTCAGATTTGGCTCTCTTTTGTTGTAATTCTTGTTCTAAGAGCCACCTTTATTAGCAAGTTCATTTAAGGCTAAAAATATTATTTCTTCTTCCCAGGATGAAGTAAACCAGATCATGGAAACCAATCTGTGGCTACGTCACGTATGTGTCTGCATCACATGTCTTTCTCTTGGACCTGTCTTACTTGTGTGTTAGCCTAACAATGTCTAATGGATAAATTCCATTAGAATTACTTCTTTCCATCTGCAACTTATAACAGAGTATAAACTATAATCTTTCTCCAAAGCCTAGAGTTCAGGTCTGGGACAGCTGCTTGATACAAACTTCACAGGTGCAAAAACATAGTGATAAAGTTCTTTGGGACATAGAGACCTGTCCCTTCTGGTTTCTGCCCTCAAGTCTCCTATTTTTATCTGTAACTTGAGCCCCAGTGTCAGAAGCTTGCCCAGTCTTTGACTCTGCTGCACCAGGCCAAGGGAAGTAAGGAACTGAGCATGAGAACACGTGGGTTAGAGTCCCACCAGTTGTTTTTATCAGTTATACCACTTCATTCTTCCTTCTTGTCTTAATCTTTTACACAGATTTATAACAAACTCATTATTGTACACTTGAACTATCTTTTTGATATTAGAAATGAGTTGCTACTCCAGTGTGAATACAGTTTATGGAACATGGAAGTTGAGTCTATAACCTTGGTCAGCTAATTAATAATCAATAGTTAATTATCTAATGTCAGATGATTTATATTTGCCAAAATCAGCCTAGCTGCCTAGCCCCCTATTCCTCATGGATTTAATATCCCAACTTTTTTAAAAAAAAATTTTTTTTTTAACGTTTATTTATTTTTGAGACAGAGAGAGACAGAGCATGAACGGGGGAGGGGCAGAGAAAGAGGGAGACACAGAATCGGAAACAGGCTCCAGGCTCTGAGCCATCAGCCCAGAGCCCGACGCGGGGCTCAAAATCACGGACCGCAAGATCGTGACCTGAGCTGAAGTCGGACGCCCAACCGACTGTGCCACCCAGGTGCCCCAAATATCCCAACTTTTGATAGAAACCAATGCACTCTTTATTTTTTTTTAAGTAGGCTCCAAGCCCAAAGTGAGGTTGGACTTACGACCCTGAGATCAAGAGTTGCATGTTCTACCAACTGAGTCAGCCAGGTGTCCTCCAGTGTATTCTTTAAATGAGAACTTATTTTTTTTTTCAAAACACTGAACCGACATAGAATTAACATGGGAAGAAAGTTCCCTGTAAGTTACTAAGAATTTTTTATTCAACTGACTTCTATTGCCTTTAGATATGGAATGATTATAAATTGCGCTGGGACCCAATGGAATATGATGGCATTGAGACTCTTCGTGTTCCTGCAGATAAGATATGGAAACCTGACATCGTTCTCTACAACAAGTATGGGGTTCTGACAGCAGTAGACTTGTTCCAAAGTTGCCTTTGGTACATGCTGACCCAGGCAAGGGGGTGTTACTAATGGTGTCTGGTTTACTTTGTAGTGCTGTTGGTGACTTCCAAGTTGAAGGCAAGACAAAAGCTCTTCTTAAATATGATGGCATGATAACCTGGACTCCACCAGCTATTTTCAAGAGTTCCTGTCCTATGGATATCACTTTTTTCCCTTTTGATCATCAAAACTGTTCCCTTAAATTTGGTTCCTGGACATATGACAAAGCCGAAATTGATCTTCTAATCATTGGATCTAAAGTGGATATGAATGATTTTTGGGAAAACAGCGAATGGGAAATTGTTGATGCCTCTGGCTACAAGCATGACATAAAATACAATTGTTGTGAGGAGATATACACAGATATAACCTATTCTTTTTACATTAGAAGACTGCCAATGTTTTATACCATTAATCTGATCATCCCTTGTCTCTTTATTTCATTTCTAACTGTGCTTGTCTTTTACCTCCCTTCTGACTGTGGTGAAAAGGTGACACTTTGTATTTCAGTTTTGCTTTCTCTGACTGTGTTTTTGCTAGTAATTACAGAAACCATCCCATCCACGTCTCTTGTGATCCCACTGGTGGGTGAGTACCTACTGTTCACCATGATCTTTGTCACCCTGTCCATTGCGGTGACTGTGTTTGTGTTGAACATTCATTATCGCACCCCAATGACACACACCATGCCCAAGTGGGTGAAGACAGTTTTCCTCCAGCTGTTACCCCAGATCTTGATGATGAAGAGGCCTCTGGACAAGATGAAGGAGACAAGTTCAGATAAAAATTCCAAAGGCATTTCTGGTAGGCCCACCAAAGTCAATTTTGATAATTGCAGAGAGACCAAACTTCCTAAAGAATGCTGCCACTGTCATAAATCAAGTGAGCTTGCCACCAGCAAGAGAAGATTAAGTCATCAGCCTTTACAATGGATGACTGAAAATTCAGAGCACTCGCCTGATGTTGAAGATGTAATTAACAGTGTACAATTCATAGCAGAAAACATGAAGAACCAAAATGAAACAAAGAAGGTAAATGCATGTCTCCTCTAGCCTGGCATCCCTCAGCTGGTTTAGATCAGACCTAAGATCAGATCTTCATTGGGAGTTCTGTTCACAAGAGGGCCAGGGAACAGTACTCTAAGACCCAGCTCTATTATTATGCAGTTATGGGTGAAGTGACCTGGGGGTTGGGTGGAGTAAAGTATAGCCTCAGAGCAAATCTCCACCTCCAGAAATGTTAACTCAAGTGAAATCTAGTTAAAATAAATATTCAAAACAGGCTTGGTTAATGAAACTGTTTCTTAAATACAGTGACAGATGAAATTCCTGCAGAGCAGCCTGCAGTCTGAGGCTGGTGGGGGCAGGCAGAGTGAGTCCTCTGAAATTCCAACCCCACTTATTCTACTTGAGAGGGATTTAGGTGTTTATTGAATGAACCTCAGGCATATTCTTAGCATCAACATATTCTGCTCTTGCTGTCCAGAGTCTAACTATAGCAGCATGAACGTCCCCCATCCTCCACAAAGAGAGCTCAAGAAAATCATGCCAATTTTCCATATCCTAAGCTGAGGGCATCTGAAAACTTATGCCAGGTGTCTGGGTTTGACCTTATACTGCAGCTGCTGGCATCCATATCTCCTGGTGAAAGGACGTCTTGAGATCTGAAGTCCACACCATTGGTGCAGGGGAGGATACTATGACTGCAAGTCACAAGTTAGGGGCTGGAGGGGATGCATCATGGGACAAGTGAGCCCAGAAATGTGCCTTCATGGTAACATCCTCATAAAATCGAGGGAAGGTTGTTGTTGACTTAAACACCACCAGGTAGGGCCCTCAAGACACAATCTGAGATGTTAAGTCTCAGGCATGAGTTGGAGGTCAGGAACTGGAAGGACGTGAGAAATGCAATGAACTCTCCACAAGCAGCATGACTTTGAGCTCTAGAGGGCTGCCTATTCCTGATAAAGTGTCCTCCATTCCTCATGTCCTATACCCCCTGCCTCAAACCCATTTTCCAGACTTGCCAAGGTGTCAGAATATCCAGTGGTGCCAATGACAAAAGTTGAGCTGTCTGAGCAGCATTCTTGGGAATGGTTTTTGCAGGAAAAGTCATTTGTCACCTGTGGAATCCTGCTTACTCTCTAGCCATCTGTATGAGGCACCAAAGGGGCATGTGTATCTACCCTCTTCAGACAAAACAAAAGTTCTTCTAAGAACTGTATAGGCAACATGGGTTAACCACGATAAAACCACTATTTGCTTCAAAAATTGCCAAGGAAGTCTTTGAAAAGGAAGCAGCTTATTTATGAAACAGAGAATATTACCTAGTTTCAATTTTTTAACATTGCTTTGACTTTTTGCTTGCCTTTCAGGTAGAAGACGACTGGAAATATGTAGCCATGGTGGTGGACAGAGTATTTCTTTGGGTGTTTATAATTGTCTGTGTGTTTGGAACTGCAGGGCTATTTCTACAGCCACTACTGGGGAACACTGGAAAGTCTTAGGATGTATTTTCCTTTTATCTTTTGAAACTTACAGATGCTGTATTTGTTCTATGTTCCCTTCCATGAGGAAAGGGACATAAAGCTTTCCACCTAAGTCCCCCATCTACTGAAGCTGATGGTTAGATGGAAAAAGAGGACTTTATTGCAAATTTGGAGGCTGAATGCCCTCCTTTGTAGCACAGAGCACGTTTAAGATGTTTGATAACACTGGAGCCCAGAATTGGTGGCACCCACAGGCTTCTCTTCTCTGTACATGTTTGACTTCCAGGGACATAAACAACCCATAATACAACAAGCCATGTAATCAACATCAAAGCCATGCTAAAAAGGCATTCTCTTGTACCTCCAGTTTATGCTACTTGTCAGTATATTGACACATGCCAGACACAAAACTCTGGAGCTTGTACCTTGCTGGCATCTGCAATGCTTGGGAACTGTTACGTGCTTGCTTTCTAATATGTGCCTCTGGGATGTACTCACATACTTCAACACTTTTTGATATATTAATTGGCAAAAAGTAATAGCAGGTAGTCAGAGTCTATCTCAGCAGGCTGCATCAAGTTAGCATTCATCTGGCAAGCAGCTTGAGTGGTAACCCAGCACTGTGCTGGGCATTGCAAGCACAACAGAAATGGGTTCTGTCCCCAAGTGCTTGCAGCTTTTTAGGAAAAGTCATAAACACAAAGATCTCCAAGACCAGGTATCATGGGAATGTAACTAAAGCAGCCAAAATAAGGAGAGCATGATGTGGTATGGCCATGCAAACATGAAGCAGGCTTTGCGGCAGGTCAGAGAGGTGTCTGTTCTTGCCAGCAGTTTCCATATGTTCATTGTAGCTGAGACTGCAAATAAAGTTATTTCTTCTGCAAGAAATTGTGATTTTGTACCTTTTTGGAGCAATACCTTTTCTGAGAAGGAGCACCTTGGAATTCTGTTTTATTCCACTCTAATTTATCTTCATATTTGTTGTATAAATATTATTGTAATTTTAAAGATGTATTTCAAAGCAGAAAAAAATAAATCTACCCTAACAAAGAAACTAATTTCATTTCTGCCTTTTTTCGTCTGATCCTCTTCTCTGTGCACCCATAATTTTACACTTCAATTTTACCTTCTAATTTTGTATGTTGCTGTTTTCTCAAAACATGTCAGGCGACATTTTTCCAAGATGTTACGTAGCCTTGAATGTGGGGTGTCCTGACTTTGTGGGGGCTGGCAGTGCGGGCTGTGGAAGAATTTTCATCCAAGGCAGAACAACAGAGATAAATGTTTATTGAATACAGGGCCAGGGAGCAGGACAGCAGAGGAGAGACTGTCTGCAAGGAGGCAGTGGGTAGAGGCCATATTTAAAGCTGGAAGATGAGGAGGTATGGGGAACATATGCAATTTTCTCTTTTTTGGTACCTGTGCCTGTTTGTAAGTAGCCCATTGGTCAATTAGGGCCTATGGCCATTTTGAGGTGGGTCACTTAATGGCTGGCAGTCCTCATGGGCCCTTTTGCCTTGATTAGGTTTCCATTGCTCAAGCCCGTTGCCCAAAAATGGCCTCTACATTGAAGTATACTTTTTATGATTGCATAATCTCCATTGTGTTGATACTCCATAACTTCTATTACCTCATGTTCGTTCTTCCTTGTCTACCTTATCCAGGAGCATAAGGCTCTCTGTGGTATACCAGGCAGAGGTCTTGAACTTGAGCTGGAACTCTGTTTTAAAGTATGTTTACTGCCTCTCATATTTGTGATCATATCTATATTTTATCTTTCTTTCTTACAATGGGTTTGATTTACTTCATACATTTTTCTTAGTATTAAACCAAATCAATATTTAATATCATTGTTTAAAAAGTTTTAATTATGGTAAAATGCACATAACAAAATTTACCGTCTTCACCATTTTAAGGATATGGTTCAGTGGCATTAAGTACATTCACCATGTTGTACAGCCTTCATCACCATCCATCCACAGAACTCTCTCATCTTGTAAAACTGGAAATCTGAACCCATTAATAGCAACTTCTCATCCCATCTCTCCCCACCCTGTCACCCCTGTCAACCACCATTCTACTTTGTCGCCATGAATTTGAGTATTTTAGGTACCTTATATGAGTGAAATCATACACTATTTGTCTGTTTGTAACTGGTTTATCTCCCTAAGTATAGTCTTCAAGGTTCATCCATGTTATAGCATGTGTGAGAATTTCTTTGCTTTTAAAAAAATAATTAATTTGAATTTAAGTACAGTTGACATTGGCACAAAAACAGACACTCAGATCAATGGAACAGAATAGAAAACCCAGAAATGGACCCACAAACGTATGGCTAACTAATCTTTGACAAAGCAGGAAAAAATATCCAATGGAATACAGTCTCTTCAGCAAATGGTGCTGGGAAAACTGGACAGCAACATGCAGAAAAATGAACCTGGACCACTTTCTGACAGCATACACAAAAGTAAACTCAAAATGGATGAAAGACCTCAATGTAAGATAGGAAGCCATCAAAATCCTTGAGGAGGAAGCAGGCAACAACCTCTTTGACCTTGGCCACAGCAACTTCTTACTCAACACGTCTCTGGAGGCAGGGGAAACAAAGGCAAAAATGAACTACTGGGACCTCATCAAAATAAAAAGCTTCTGCACAGTGAAGGAAACAATCAGCAAAACTAAAAGGCAGCCGACAGAATGGGAGAAGATATTTGCAAACAATATATCAGATGAAGGGTTAGTATCCAAAATCTATAAAGAACTTATCAAACTCCCCACCCAAAAAACAAAGAATCCAGTGAAGAAATGGGCAAAAGACATGAATAGACACTTCTCCAAAGAAGACATCCAGATGGCCAACCGACACATGAAAAAATGCTCAATTTTTTGAATTTTGAAAAAATCAAATGAAATTCATTTTGAAAAAATGCTCACTCATCATCCAGGAAATACAAATCAAAACCACAATGAGGTACTGCCTCACACCTGTGAGAATGGCTAACATGAACAACTCAGGCAACAGCTGATGTTGGTGAGGATGTAAAGAAAGAGGATCTCTTTGGCACTGCTGTTGGGAATGCAAACTTGTGCAGCCACTCTAGAAAACAGTATGGAGGTTCCTCAAAAAATTAAAAATAGAACTACCCTACAACCCAGCAATTGCACTACTAGGCAGTTATCCAAGGGATACAGGTATGCTGTTTCAAAGGGGCACATGCACCCCAATGTTTATAACAGCACTATCAACAATAGCCAAAGTATGGAAAGAGCTCAGATGCCCATGTATGGATGAATGGATAAAGAAGACGAGGTATATATATACAATGGAGTATTACTCAGCAATCAAAAAGAATGAAATCTTGCCGTTTGCAACTATGTGGATGGAACTGGAGGGTATTATGCTAAGTGAAATTAGTCAGAGAAAGACAAATATCGTATGACTTCACTTATATGAAGACTTTAAGATACGAAACATGAGGGAAGGGAGACAAAAATAATATAAAAACAGAGAGGGGGACAAAACATAAGAGACTCTTAAATATGGAGAACAAACAGAAGGTTACTGGAGGGGTTGTGGGAGGGGGGATGGGCTCAATGGGTAAGGGGCATTAAGGAATCTACTCCTGAAATCATTGTTGCAATATATGCTAACTTGGATGTAAATTAAAAAAAATAAATTAAATTTTAAAAAATGAAGTACAGTTGACATAAGAATTTATTTGTGGGCGCCTGGGTGGCTCAGTTGTCTGGGCATCTGACATATCTCAGGTCATAATCTCCCAGTTGATGAGTTTGGCCCTGCGTCGGGCTCTGTGCTGACAGCTCAGAGCCTGCAGCCTGCTTAGGATTCTGTGTCTCCCTCTCTCTCTGCCCTTCCCCTGCTCATGCTCTGCTCTCTCTTTTTCTCTCTCAGAAATAAAGATTAAAAAAATTAAAAAAAGAATTTATTTGCTTTTTGAGGCTGAATAATATTCCATTGTATGTATTTACAACATTTTGTTTACCCACTGATCCATCAGTGGACATTTGAGTTGCTTCTTCCTTTTGGCTGTCATAAATAATGCTGCTATGAACATGAGCATACAAGAATCTCTGAGTTTCAGTTCTTTGGAGTTTATACCCAGAAGTAGAATTGTTGGGTTATATGGTAGTTTCTGTTTAATTTTTTAAAGAACTGCCATGCTGTTTTTCCACAGTGGCTGCACCATTTCCGTCCCTACCATCAGTGTGCAAAGCCTCCATTTTTTCCACATCCTCACCAATACTTGCCATTTTCTACTTTTTTCCCCCTTCTAGTGGCCATAGTTCTTTGTGGTTTTGATTTGCATTTCCCTAATCATTGTGATGCTGAGTATCTTTTCATGTGCTTTTTGACCATTTATATTTCTTCTTCTTCCCCTTCCTCTTCCCCTCCCTCCTCTTCTTCTTCTTCTTCTTCTTCTTCTTCTTCTTCTTCTCTTCCTCCTCCTCCTCCTTCCTCTTCTTTCTCCTCCTCCTCATTTGCATATTTTCTTTGGAGAAATGTGTATTCAAGTCCTTTGCCTCTTTAAACATCTGGTTAGTTTTTATTATTGCATTTGAGTTGTGGAATTTTTTATATATTCTGGATATTAACCTCTTATTAGATATAAACACAAGACTTACAAGAACTGCAAAGCAGGAAGATGGGAGGAAAATGCTCCCAGCCAGGAGCAGGGAAACCCTGATCCTGACTTCTTTACATTTCTTTTATACATGAACATACCTCAGACTTTCCAGCCCAACTCTCCAGAGTTTGCTCAGTGATCCTCAGATGAGAGAGGATCTTGTGTTCACAAGTAAACAAACTAGCATATGCAAAAGAAATGAGATAAGCATGTGAATTATAGGGAAGTCACAGCATTTGTTCAGAAGAACAAGGGAAGCAAGGATTGAAAATTCATAAAGGGTCATGAAGACAGTAAAACATTAAAGAACTCTTTGTTAACTGAGATTTTTGACTTTTAGGATTGACCTGGAATTTTCTTGGTTATGATTTCATTATCAATATCTTTGTGTGTGTGTGTGTGTGTGTGTATGTGTTCACACAAGTGCACATGCATGGGAGTGTCTGAACTATTAGATCAGTGTGTATCTGAACTATTAGATCAGTGACTTTTAGGGATGGAATGGAGCTCATAGGTTATTTAACTCAACTCTTTTTTTTTAATCTCAAGAGGTAGAGTGGCTTGCCCACGATCACACAGCTAATAGGTTTCACATCTCCTGACTCTTAAACGATTTCCCTGACCCCAGTGCAATTCAGTCGCTCTTGTGAGAAGGGAATAGAAAAACATAGTAACTCACCTGAGGTGGCCCATCTTTTCCCCTCAACACCCCCAGACTAGCCTTACAAAGCAGAAATCCTCTCTCACGGACAGTCATCAGAAGGAGGGAGACATGTAATGCAAGTGAAATGGAAATGAGGCTAGAGAGATGAAGCTGCACATACTCTCTTATTTGGGGGAAGGTCAGGACCATTAGGGTCAAGCTTTATTTTAATGGCGACAGGGCATATAGGTATGGGTTTGAACTTTGGATTTTTTGAGAAAAGCTGAAAATCCAGCTTTTTATATAAAATCTCCTAGTTTTAAAGTGTGGCAACTAAATGAAGAAACAAGAATAATGTCCTCATGTTAGCCAAACAAGACCCATGTGCTGGGCCTGGAGTTTGTAGCAGGGACATGAGTTTGTAGCTTTGGCTGAACAAACTGGTGCTTGATTCCTTCTGTTGGTTGAGGTCATACCAGAGGAGGCTAAGTCCTGGTGGAGGGAAGTGTGAGAAGTGGGAAGGGAAGGAGTGGACTCAGAGGCATGGAGGTACCACCTGAGGGCCTAGGGAGCATCTACTTGGGATGTCTTCACCTAGCCCCATCCTTCCACAGGGCCCAGGGTATGCCTCTTGTGTGTAGCGAGGAGATAGGCCAACAAGAACAGGGGAACAACGTGTGAGCACCTCTCTTTGCCCATCCCCCCTTTTGACTTAAACTGTCATTTGGACCCTTCAGCAGTATCCAGCATTGTGAACCAGAAATGCTAT